GTAGGGAAATTAAAATTAGACATATAAAGAATGCGGCCAGATGATTTTAACAGCATTGTTAATACATGGAGAGCTCTCTGATACCGATTATCTTGAAATGAATAAGACTTTAAAAGGGAAAATCAGCCACGAAACGATTAATCAAAATAGATTTATGTTTGTCACTTGCTACAGAGGACACTCCCTTTGTACAGTGGATGGATGTTGTATGCTGGGGAGTGCCCTGCTTCCCTGTTGTAAAAAAAAATTCTCTGTTTTTTCTGGTTGTTATGGCAGCAGTTGTGGCCTGCGGTTGCCTAACCTCTCCACTCGTGCGCTCAATTACACTTTGGCTGTTGGTGATTCGTGTCAGAACCCAGTTTTAGAAATGCTGAGTCTTTCCCAATTTTTTACATACTGACTTTGCAGCCTGACATAGAATTGTAAGGTTTATGTGAAATCTAATATCTTTGAGGCGGTAGTTTTTCTGTCTGCATCCGTCTTTGGCTGCTGTCCATATTTACTGGAAGTTACGCTTCTAATTTTAAACTTTAAAAGCAATATTTGCTGTGGTTATTTTTCCTTCTCTAAAAAAAAAAAAGTCACAAAGAGATAATTATGCACACAGTTCTCCATTTCTAATTATATCTTAATGTACAGTACTGAGGCATTTCTTCCCCTTTTTTCTTTTTTTTTCCTTAACAAGCAGACCAGTGTACTGAATTGCACAGTTGCTAATTTTATCGACGTTTTGCTAACGTTTCCAGAGTCACAGGCGGTGTGAGGAAGTAGTGAAACTGCAGAGAGGGAGGGCTCACCTGTTTACAGCGGAAACAACTCGGGTCTATCTAATCTCCCATCAGGTACAGCATACTTGAACGTATGGCTTGCGCAGGAGTTTGCAGACAGCTCATCCAGCCAACGCCCCTTTTTATAGAGTTTCTCTGGCGCGCAGGAGAAAGCAGGAGTTGTTCTGGCATAAACAGCCAGCCCTTAACTGATACAGAGGTTCCTCAGTGTCTCCCTCCCAGATACCCGTTTGCGGTGAAACGGGCGCGGGCACCTCGGCTGGCAGGCAGCGGCGGTCTGGCCTCTGCTCGCATACTTGGGAGACCAAGTGGTTGGGATTGAGAAACTGATTTATCCCAGGGATGTTTGTCAGCTCTTGGATACGCTTCTCCCAGCGGCAAAACCTGGGATGCCCAGGGGATCTTGTCTTGTGTGCTCTGAGGGAGCGCAGGATTCCTGGGGGTTGTCACTGGCCTGCACAGGAAACTGGTGGCAGGCCCCCTCCCGCTACTCTTAAAAAAAATATAGTAAAATAAATCAAGTCTGCAAGAAGTAGGGAGTTGGACTCTCAGCATGGCACCAACTTTGGCTGCTGCCAGGATGTGATTTGTTCAGGTGGGCAAATTGGAGACTGCAGGTGTTTGGTACCACCGTGTGGTACATAAAAAGACGTATGTAGAAATAAATGATCCATTTTTATGAAAGAGCATATCCGCCACTGCTTTTAATACAAAACTACTACCATATTCTACCTAGGGATTCTTTGTGTTGTCACTGAGAAATATCTCAAGATAGCTGTGGAATTCTGCCTTTCAGTTTGTATTTTGGGAGAGCTGTGAAAAACGCGACGTTGCAGGTGTCCTGGTTTAGTTCGCAGGCTCTGTGCAACAGAAAGCTTTGCCCTGAAGCTCCAGGGATCATTTTCTGAGGGTAATAATATCCCTGTGTTATGGACGACTTAAAATGGGGTGAATATCTCATTCTTCTTCATTAGTTTTATTCCTGAAAGTAAGACACCATGTGTTTTTGTGTAAGCAGAAAGACAGACTTTTCTTCCTGGGTTTTGCTACAATTTGAATTATTTTGAGTGAAATGTCATGTCCTATAATGAAGAATTCTTAAATCAACTGGAGTAGTGCCATAGACGTATTAAAAAAGTTTACCACACAGGATGAGTGTGAAGGTACGGAACAATCGTTGGAAAACGGTGAGCTTAGCATTACTAACACGATACCTGCAACTTCCGTTCTTGTTCAGACACTTCCGAGACTGTGTAGTTCTTAAGTGAAGCCTCTTAAAATTAATATTTTGAGCCTGTGGCAGACCTCGGTGTTAAGTTGCTTAGGACCTGTTGGGTCTTGAAAAAGCTGTGTCAGCAATCTTTTGCATTGCCAAGTAAGTATGGATGGAAAGCTCTTTGGACCTTGGCCTGTGCCCCGTGATTGTCCGTCGTGTTCCTTCTCTCTGTGGGGCTGAGGGAGGAATCTCGTAGCTCGGCGCGGTGACTCAGCAGGACTGTCACCGGAGAAAGAAAACGTTAACGTAACTGTGGGCTCCTGCGGAAATTGCAAGGTGTGATATAAAGTTGAATTTTTTCCTTTGTACATTCTCGAAGAAGGTGGTGATTGTTTGCACAAAAGCGGAGATGATGTAAGCTGAGTCCTCTTCTCGCCAGCAGAGCACCTTGCTCAGCTGCGAAGTCACCTTATTACTCAGGAAATCCTGCATCCGCAAGGAGAATAATCTCTGCGACGTGTTTCCCACGTTGATCCCGCTTGTACTTGGTCTAAGGAGTAAATAAACTTGTGATAAGCTTTGCCGATTAGTGTGAATGTTTCACCCTGACCCCATTATTCACTTATTTGCATTAGGTGCCTAAGCAAAACTCGCTGCAAAATGAGTAGTTTGCCCTCACTGGAACAGGGTAATATTGGCCTTTAAATAAAGATTATTTGAAAAAGGAGTTGGAAAGAAGTACTTACTGTATGGGCAACTTCCCGGATGTCAAGTGTTTTCAATCAGTTGCTTCTCAAATACAAAATACAAGAGTACAAACTAGGTGTGAGTAGTTTATAGATACTCCCCCCTAGCTGTGCTCTCTGCTGAGTTGAGAAATTGCAAAGTCTGTGGTTTGAGGAGAGGCCAATAAGGAATGGAGAACACAAACTTGGTTTGATTTGCTAGTCAGCAATGCACGGTATTAAACCTAGCTATTTAATCTTGTACAAAATACTGCTATAAAGAAAAGAAACAAATGTGGAACATTTAAAAGAAATCAGTTGCCCTGGTGCATTTTTTTTTTTTTTAAATGTGTTAAAATGAGAGTTCTTGCAAGTCACGTAACGAATTGCTAGTAATGTTTAGCTTAGATCGTAAAATGCTTTGGTTTAGCAGTTTTCACTGTACAGCTGAAGCATTTCTGCTTCCTACAAGAGCATATTTGTACTAAGGCCATAAATTCCACTGAGTAGGTCATATTTTATTATGCTGCCTTGTCCTCATCCTCCTTGCGGGAGCTGGAGTAGAACAGATTTTTGGGAGAACCTGGAGGAAAAGCGTGGTCACAGCGTCAGCGGCTGGAGTAGAACAGATTTTTGGGAGAACCTGAAGGAAAAGCATGGTCACAACGTCAGCATACGAGCTGCGCTGGTGCTCTTTCTTGCTTACCAAGTGAAAACATGGGCTAAGCTGTTCTTGTCAACCTTTGTTTTAAAAATATCATGAGAAGAGTTGTCCAAGCTGTGTCACAGATAAATAGTCTCTAACAATTTGCCATGAAAAAAGGCCTGAATTGTGATTTTTCAGGCTAGGAAAAAGGAAAAATCAAGAGTCAAAGGTACAGAATCCCCAGTAAATCCAATAACACAATTGTTTGAGTAACGTATCAGAATAGAAAAAAAACAGTGTATTAAACTGAGAAGTAGATCTATTGTAAAAGGTAAACTTCCATGATTTGTTCAGTGAGGGAGCATCAGGATCAGAAGAATGTGAGAAGATACAAAGTAATTGCTGAGATTAAGGCCGTGGCAAAATGAGGTTTTATATTCCAGACATCCTGCAAGATTTGCTGGAATTGTCAGCGTTTTTTCGGTTTAGGAAGACAGCCCAAATATGGATGTCTGTACTTAAAACGGCTTACTTTCCGTTTACTTCACATCTTACTTTTTCTTGTTGCGCAGCATTGCTAAACAACTTTTCACACTTCTGCGCTGCAAAAGAGCAAAATTTTTTATTCCTTTTAAAATGCATTAGGTCTGCGAATTATGCTTTTGCAATTGTTCTCTTTTATTTTTAGCGTATTAATTAAATTAATATTTTTCAGGTCGTATCGATGCTTTTACATCGAAGCTTATTATGCTAGAAAAGATCTCTCCGGAAATTTTAAGAGAGAAACTTGGATTGATTAAGTGAGTATTTTTAGTAGGTCTTTTTAGCCACTTATTTGAAACACTAACAAGCCTTACAAGCTACTGATTTTGTCATTTTTATCTTTTTCGCAGGCCTGCAAATTCATTAAATATACTTCATCACATCTTGAAGAAAGTGTCTGAGTAAGTGCTCCCTTCTTGTTCTTTGTATTCATTTGTGGCACCACCCAGGTCATCCCGTTTCTTCTGTAGAACGCTTGTCTCATCTTTGGTTTCTTCAGATACATGAAATACTCTCCAAGTTCTTTTCGGTCTAGCATATGCAGTGCTCCGTGAAAACGTGCTTAGGATTACAGGATTTGTAGAAATGGTGCAGAAAAACTTGATTTTTGTGAACCGCTTGTTCGGGAGAGGAGACTGGACACTTCTGAGCTGATTCCCAGGAGCGAGTTGTGGTATTATGTCTGTAGGCTGACATTTGAAATTTGGGCTTGTGTTTTTTCTTAGGCTTTTTATTTGATCTGTAGAAGTAATACTGTTCATTCCCGTCTGCTTAGCTTGATTTACAAAAGCTTATGTCTTTCTCAACAGCATCACAACCTTTCTCTGGCTCCTTCCTTTTCTTTATTTAGCTCCTCGAGGGCTTTTGGTCTGCAGGTGTCTTCTCAGATTTCTTGCACCATATGTGGAAGCCCCTTAATTCCAATTGCAGACGAGTTTTCCCTCACTTAATTCTGTAGCTTCATGATTTGTGCCTAAGATTTTTGATAAGGGTAGTTGGTTGACATTCGTCTTGCTGAAAGCCTAATTAATCCTGCGTGTATTTAAAGCGCATCTGTGTCCATATATACGTTATGCTTTGTTAGGTGCTCCGTGGAGGATTGTAATTTGCCGAATATGGATTGTTTTCTGTATATGCTTAAATGTTTGATTGAATATGATGACAATCTGGACATTGATGAATGAGTACGTTGTGAATTCATTATAAATGCATGAATTATTAGTATGTATTTATCGATACAGTTTAATTCGTGCTTTTTTTTGTCTGTAGTCTTTATATAAAATAGGGACTGATAAGTTAATACCTAATGATTTGCATTAAAATCTTAACAGTTATCCTGATTCGATGAACCAAACCAAAACCACTTAAAGAATATTTTGCACTCTGAACTTTACCTTTTCAGTTTGCAGGAGGGCTCTTACTTGCTGACTCACGCTGCCGGAGATTCATCAGTTGCCGTCTACAAGAGCTCCGTTGACAAGGCGACGAGAGCATCGTATAACTTGCATAAAGCTCATGATGATCTGCCTGCCGTACCCGCCACCCTCTCAGTCCCCTGGGTGCCCCTAGATCCCAGCCTGCCTTTGCCCTATCATGTGAGTCACGGAAGAGTTCCGTGCACATTTCCGCCTGCACCCCAGGAAGCCGCGTGGAAACAGAAGGTCGGTGTCACATTTAAGGGAAAAACAGATTCTCAGTTTTGAAATAATCTATTTCTGTCCCTTGGATATATAGCTGTTATATTTACCTGTCATCTTTGAGGGTCAGGGAGCCCCTTTAGAGTTCTGGATCCACTACCAAGAATAGGAATGCCTTTTTCCTGATCAATAGTTCAGGTGAGATTTAGCTCGTCTAGCTATAAACATTACAACCTGGAAAAAACAATGTTTAAGATCGTTGTGCTGTTGACAGAGGGAAATGGAATATTTTGTAGGATGTGTTTCCACACCAGCATTGGCCTGTTCCATGGAGTGTAGGGTCACGCTGTGTACTTGTTGTTTTCTCTCTAATGACTACAGGAGTAAAGATGATTAGTAAAACTGTAGGCAACTGAAATCACGTAAGGTAAATTCTCCTGTCAGGATCTGTCCTGTTGAGCTGTTATTGCAGTTCTCTGTGATACAGCGTGATTCCTTGTTATGTTGTTTTGTTGTTGGAGTTTTTTAATAGGCTTTTTTCCCCCCCATGTCATGGCAAAACTATTTCAAAATGAAGTTTTGCATCTCTAATGTGAGCAAATAATACTTCTGGATGGCAGAAAGGACGTAGCATTTGGATTAATTAAAAGCTTTGTAGGCTTGCAGCACAGCTTAAACAGATACGGTATTTATGTTTAGAAGGATTTTCCAATCTTACCTGAATGATGGTGCTTTTTCTTGATGTACTTTTACTTCATAACACTTTCAGGCTTCCTGTTTCTTCATCTCTGTTTGTCCCTCTGTCTTACCCATGGATCTCAAAATCTTGAAATTGCTGGGTTATTTCAGCAGAAACTGGCACGTCTTGGAGGCCTAAGATACTACGTTCTAACCAGCTTAGTGAAAATAAGTAGCCAAGTAGAGGATAGTAATCCAGATCAGTGCTTTCTCTGGTTAGAAATCCACCCTGCTTCGTAACTTACGCTGATGAAAAAGTGATGCTTGTCATGCTTTGGGTATTTCCCAGAGATCCCACTCTCAGCTTTAGTATTTTGAACAGGTAGTACAACACTTGGAAAGAAAGAAAAAGTTCTAGCATAGATCTACTCATTTGTGGAAAAGCCATGTTCTAACTATGCGAGCTTACGGAACTGTGCGATACTTCTTAGGCCCGCCTCGACTTCATATGAGGGCAAAATAGAGTTGTGCACTGGTTCCTAATTACCTTGTGCACTTTGGTTTCTGCTGGAAGGAAATCCAGGCACGTAGGCAAGAAAGAGGTGGAATTGGTCAGATCCCACAGCTGGAAGACCAGCTGTGCCTGTTGCCCACATGTGGCCTCTCAGTCTGGCTGGAGTAACAAGGTGCAGAAGTTCAACAAGGACAAGTGCAGAGTCCTG